TGTGTAACAAAAACAAAAACAAAACGTAACAAAACAAAAACAAACAAAAAAAAATCACAATTTGTGATGATCATTATGATAATTATCCACCACGTGAAACAAAAAAAAACGACTTCTATTTCAAATATATCTTTTATTTCACATTCCAGATATACCGAGAATACTATATAAAGGTACGGTATATTATTTTTTCATTTATAATTCTATTTTTGTGTTCTTTTTTTTCTCTCTCAGTGTATACGATTATTTTTGCTTTTTTTTTATTTTGTTTCCTTTTCCCCCCCGGCATTTCAATAACCAGTAAAAGACTAAGAGAACCCAAAAATTATCCGTGTGTCAAAATAAAGGTGTGCGCTGAAAAGCTATTCTTAAAATTTATTTTTGAAATACACCCTAAAATGATGTATGCCTTTCCCATTTTAAAAGATATACAAGTACATTTAATTTATCATGCGTGGAAAGCTCAAAAATTCACTGAAACAAACTTAAAGTTCGTAAAGCTGTAAATTGTGAAATACAGTAAATTCGCTTAATTTGTAGGCATGAATTTTCGTGGTTTGCAAAAAAAGGACATATTTGTTGGTTTTCAAATTCGCAAATTATCTGGGTTTTTTTCAAATACAAGTAATGCAATAAAAATAATCGTTCAGAATACGAACTAAAATTTGTTGGATCTTAAATTCATGGACTGACCTATCCACGTAAACCACAAATTTTAATCATGATTATTTTGCAATAAACTATAAGACTTCCAAATCTGTACGTTGCTGTTGTTCAAATCCTTCATTAGCTTTTAAAAAGCTAATGAAGGATTTGAACAACAGCAACATACAGATTTGGAAGTCTTATAGTTTATTGCAAAATAATCATGATTAAAATTTGTTTAGGTGAACATGACAATCATAAATGAAAAAAAATAGTTCCTTAAAGAAATACATGTATTAATTTTCTAACGTTTTGTTAACGAGCATGCGCATTTCAAATAAGCCATTTTGATTTAAAAATTATCATAATCAAAGAATTTTTAGGGGAGTGGTGTCCTGGTGGTAATGCAGTCAGTCTATAATTCGTGAGATCTCAGTTCGACCCTTACAATAACCACAACATTGTTTTCTTTATTGACATCAGTACTGAATTTGAATATTTTATCTTAACAAATACTCTGTCAGTCGACATACTATCATAATTCTATATCATTTAGAATAATATTTGAGCCGTGTCACGACAAAACCAACATAGTGCGTTTGCGACCAGCATGGATCCAGACCAGCCTGCGCATCCGCGCAGTCTGATCAGGATCCATGCTGTTCACTATCAGTTTCTCTACTTGTAATAGGGTTGGTAAGCGAACAGCATGGATCCTGATCAGACTGTGCGGACGCGCAGGCTGGTCTGGATCCATGCTGGTCGCAAACGCACTATGTTGGTTTTGTCGTGACGCGGCTCATTTATGTAAATAATTATAAATGTTTGCATGTTTGCATTTTAGCTTGCTCGGAAACGTTTGGAAAATGCTATAGTTTGTTTTCTCATTTGGGATCATGGGAGACTGCCAGTGGTGAATGCTGGGTGAGAAAACAAAGACTTCTGTCTTTATCAAGTCTAGAGGAAATGAGGCTGATTAAGTATCTTCTAAGGAACTTCAAATTATTGGGCAATGTTAACTCTATCATTACTGATGACGAGGTCTATCTTCGAACATATATAGGCAAGTATTGTATACTACCTGATTTGTATATGTTGTTTTCGTACAATGAACATGTTAACAGATTGTTATGAAATAAAAAAATATTCTGCCATGGAGCTTTATCTGTATTAATAGCCTTTGTGACCGCTAAAGTATTAACAAGAGTTAGACTTTTTCTTCTATTTATAAATCACGCCTGGAAAAAAGTTAGATGTATACGATAAATTGTTCTCTCGCAACTTCAGAGATAGTAGCCGAATATTGGTACTGTACTGTAAATGATCGATACTTACAATTGATAGAAAATAAACATTAAATAGAATAAATACATAAATAAATAACGTAATCTAAAGCCAGACATTTGGCATATCCACACACTGCCAGTTTTCAATCACAACCACTTTTCAATCACCCCTAGAAATTTTTTATTTTTGACCTTATTTGTCATGTAACCAAACTGTAAGCACATCTTGTACTCCCCTTGACTAAATTTATCAGCAGCAATGTCAATTTAGGCGATAAAAAAGAAAATGCTAGCATTTTAGTTCAAAATATGTAACAAGTGTGTTTTCCACTAATCCTTTATTTACACAGTTACAAATCGCAATAATTTTCTAAAAATAATTGATATACAGACTCAGTTTTTTGTCAGTCTGTAGAAATGGATATTAAGTTGGACAACTGTTTCAATATCATGAAGTCATAATGTATAACTGCACTTCAAAAGTTGTAATTTTTATATGTACATATTTTACCATACAGTTCTTAATTGGAAGGTAATACATCAGTAAAGTAACAGTCACTTAACCAAGGAAAAAATTCTCTGTGATAACTTTTCAGTAAGCAGTCACTAGAATGGGGTCATATAGACCCTAAGATCCTAAAAATTTCACAAGAACATGCTTTTTCTGTTATGCAAATTGAAATGTACGCCCATACCCCAATTACGACAGCTTTACCACTGCAAATAGATATCAAGATTAAAAATGGCATTATAATTAGGTTAAAATTGTTTATTACCATTTATCTGAAGTTGAGTCTGTCAAAATTTCTCCATAATACATAACTGATCATATTTTAACATTGTATGACAATTTTTATGTGGTACAGTTTATATTTTGTTAACTGATTGAAAAGTGGTTGTGAAATTTTGAAGAACAGGAAAATGGGTCAGTAATGATTTGTCCTCGATTTATAATAATAATTCAGGTAAAATTTAAAAAAGTTGGTGCATTTGTTAGCTAAAATGATAATATTCGCAGAATTGAAAGAGATTTTTATTAAATATAATTTCACTGTCAGTTATTGTTGAAAAATCTGTTAGCTGATCGGAAAGAGGCAGTACGGGGATATATGTGGTTGTAATGAATTGCATCGGTATACAAGCGAAATGAACATTGTATTTGTTAAAAGAGGGGTTATTATAAAAGTAAATAGGTGGGGTCAATAATCATTTTGGCAAAGTATAAGTGGCAAAGATCAATAGGCTATTGGAACACAACGCGTAAGGAAACAACATCACCATTTAGCTGTGTTTATGTTTGTTTATGATTGTTTTATATTAGCAGCTATTCCTACTTCAGAGTTAACTTACACCACAAACGTAGTCGTTGTATTTGTTACACGTTACACGTTACTTCAAACTGCAATGCCTCACAGAGCTTAGGTATCCTGTGCCTCACAGAGCTTAGGTATCCTGTGCCTCACAGAGCTTAGGTATCCTGTGCCTCACAGAGCTTAGGTATCCTGTGCCTCACAGAGCTTAGGTATCCTGCAAATAGCAGTATACTATCTTGTGGCCTGTTATACGTTTTATTAAAAAATGATACACCTAGGTATCAAAATTATCCCCGGTCTTAAATTATCCCCGGTCTTGGGGTCACTTATTAAAACTTAACTTATAAAGTAAAAAACATTTTGTGTGGAAATATATGGCATATGACGCAGAATATTCACTTAACCTTCACAAATGGTTAACTAAAAATGGCCTGACCCCGATATGACCAATGCCTTCTTGTTGCATTGAAGAATAATAACATTCAAAAGCAATGTATCCCAGACCATCGTGCCCCTCTTATTTAATATATATTTATTAGGTTCATTTTTACTGCCTTTTAATATATGTTTGCCTTTATTAGCAAGACGGCTGTGTAAAACGGTTTTATCAGGAGAAACTGAAAGTACTGTTTTTGAGAAGCAGACATTTCTTATAAATTTGCAGGGTTAAAAAGTTCTGCAATATAATATTGTTTTTAATTTTAGGACTACGCCGAGGCCAAAGAGGTGAAGACAGAAATGCATTCTTTTGGGAAGACAAATCGCTGGCAACTGTCTATGCATGGTAGTTTTATTTTTTCAATGATATAATACTTGCTTCAATTTAAAAAACAGTTTTGATTATTTTATTGGTCGAGTTAACAGTTTGTATACCGTTGTCAGACAAAGTACTTGTCGAAGCGAATATAGGTTTTGCAATGGTGTTAGGAATATTTATTGTACAATACTCAATAATGTATCACGACTAACCTTACTTCTTTGACACCAATTTTTAACGTTTTTATAGATCATTGTTACTTTGGGTACAATAAAGATTTGATATGGATATTTTTGGCCTTGGAAAACAAAAACGAGGCTTGACGGAGTAGAATTTGAATTTTTTAGACTAGGGCAGTGATGAAAATGGGCTAAATTGATAAGATATAATCCAATAATGATTTATAATGGAAGATCACGTGATGCAAACGCTGAAAGGTTATCGATTAAATCTTAAATAATGATTATTATTGTCACAATTATAAAACACTTTTCTCAATTTCTCAAATTACGCTATTCGTTCTAGAAATGAAATATAATCTTTATTGATATCATGGAATGCAACCTATTGCAGGAAAAAAGGACAACCATCAGCTGACAACTGCACGTACATGGGATTTTATAGAATAAACGAAGATTTGAGTTGGGAGACGCAGAGTTGTGCGACAACTTCCGCTTATTATTTTGTATGTGAAAACCCGATTAAAAATAATACCAAAGGTAAAGCTATTGTATATTTCATTTTGCACGGTTGCTTCTTTTCACTTTCACCGCATATATTGTTTGATATTGATTTCCAGATTTCTAAACTATTTCAGTCATGTAAGAGAATAGTTATTCAACACATAAATGTTGTGCTAATATCTCCAGTTATACAATATCTTTTATTACTACACATACTACTGGTAATGTTAGTATAAGGAAAACATTGTTATTAAGTGACTCTATAATTCAAACAACGTAACATCTGTATAACAATTGAATGCTCTTATTTTCAGCTATGGAAAACCGTATTGAAACGGGTTTTTACACAGGGAACCACAGTGTTACAGAAGGGGGATATACTTGTCAAAGGTGGGATAGTCAGTATCCCCATGCCCATAATTACAGTGATGGCTACAAGTTTCGTGAAACGAATATAACAAAAGTCTCAAACTTCTGTAGAGATCCCGACGGTTACTTTGTCAACTTATGGTGTTACACTACTAATTCTTCTGTGGAAGTTGATATGTGTTATTTGAATGGTTTGTATTTCAATCATCACAAACACATATCTTTAAAAATAAATTATGATTTTAAACCCAGAATTCCTTTTTTATTAAGTATCGCCACCCCCCATTTTAGCGTGTGTGTGTGCGTGCGTGCGTGCGTGCGTGCGGGTGCGGGCGTGTGCGTGTGTGTATGTGTGTGTGTGTGTGTTCTTGTTGTTCTTGTTTTTTACGCCGATTTTCAAATCTAATCATTTAAAAAAAAACAACAAGTACACAATCATTCATATTTATTACATTTACTTATATTTCCTATAATATTCATTAAAATTACATATCTTTTCTATATTTTTCTTTTAAATGTACATATCTTTGATATGATATTTATTAAATCACGTATCAACAATTAAATCACATATTTGCTATGATATTAATTAAAATCACACATTTTTGCTAGAATTGAATGAGGAGGCATCGCCAACGGTTTATAAAGGCATATTAGATAGGACAGTAGACGGTACTGACTGCACTAAAGGAATTGGCGATGGGTTTAATTATTGTCGGAATTATTATAGAGTAGATTTGATGAATCCTTTTTATCGACATTTCTGGTGTTACACAGATGACAAAGATGGAAATCAAGTACCGACAGCATGTAGTTACATAGGTAATATATAATCTTATTTCTGTACAAGGATGCAAGTCATATCAAATGCGGAATCTCCAACTTAAGATTTAAATAAAACCAATGTTTTCTATGGACAAAAAAACTATAAAAATTACTTAAACAACTAATAAAGTGATAAATGCATGTATTGTAAAGGGTTTGTAAAATTAGTACTAACTAATAATATTTATGCTTAATAAGGAACATTAGATTATTCCATGACATTATATACGTATGAATTTTACAATAATGTAACCCACACATAATCCATGTTTATGAGGTCGCTAAACATATAAAGATTTTTTAAAGGCATAACTTAATCGATTTATTTTATTATATTTCTTTCTTTTGTTAAATTTTCCATTATTTGTTACTATTTTTGTGTTGCTTTTGTATTGTTTTGTTGTTGTTGTTGTTGTCTCTATTTCTCTTATAAACTTATAGTATTCAGGAATGAATTATGTTCATGTATTTGCATGTATTGAACATTTTTGCCAATTAATAATTAACAAAATATAAATACCGTAGTACATTTGTATCAACTTGAAGTTGAAGAATAAATAATTATGGTGGGACAAGACAAATGTACCTTTCACGGAAATTGCCCTTGTAAAAAATATAAAAAAAAAACACGCATTTTACATTCTGTGGCTGAGTGGTCTTTGACTTCAAACCGCTTGCTTCTCACCGCTGTAGGTTCGAAGTGCGCTAGCGTCTTCGTTTATACTACGAGCAATGTATTATTTAGTACGTTCATTTCTTTTGTCAAGCATTGCAATTGCTGTATTGAAGCCAGCCAAATTGTAGTTCCTTTTTTCAGCTCATTGTGTGTTATATCAAATGTTTGAAACGGTAACGAGATGACCTTAACAAGAACTGACAGGTAAAATGACTAAAATCGTTTAATGATTGATCTTTATACAGATACGGCGAGTGACAGATGCAGGAATGCGGTATATCCAGTTAATGGAAAGTTGGCCTATACGGTTTCCGGTAAACCTTGTAAGCGATGGGATTCAGTCTTCTCTGAAGAACAATTCATGCACCTTGAGTTCCCGGACGGTGATCTTGTTTCAGCTTCCAATTTCTGCAGGGACCCAACATCACAAGGTTTTCCATGGTGCTATACAGATGACTCTGGAGTAGAATGGGATCTCTGTTGGGATTTATGTTCGTATACTACATATATATGTTAAGTTTTACTACAAGGATTTATCCATCTTTAAATCAGAATAATCTCATTCATTAAGGAAATTCTGAAAACATGTAATAATGAATAGCAAACAGTGCAGACCATGATCGGAAGGCAAGGGTGAACCGGCTGAAGTTAGGCTGCACTGATCGCATTGGCACAATCAGTTGCCAGTTTTGAATGAGCCCAGCAAATATTCTATAACCTAAGCTAGGCTTTAAATTTTGCAAACATAAATCATATAGTGATTTTGCAGACAGGTTATTGTGTTGTTTACTTCAAATTATTTAATGGGTTACAGAAAATAATATGTAAATGGCGTGGATATTTCTGTTTAATCATGTAATGCACATTGCCGTTAAAAACTAATAAATTAAGAGTACTCAAAAAAACTTATAAATATTTAAGCCACCAACGAAGAGGCGGAAGGATCAGATGACATTATCGACAATTACTTTGAATGCAAGGATGGTCATCAAGTAATTGCTAGCAAGAGATGCAATGGTATAATAGATTGTGTTGATGTCTCTGACGAAACTAACTGTACAGATGAAGGTATACGTCGGCAAATACATTTATAATTGATGATCTAACATGCCTCGTGCTTTTGTCACTATACACACAAAAAAATGTAAAGGCTGCCAATAAATAAACAGTTAATTGTTAGGGACTACACTTATATGCAGTTTTATGGACTTTTTTTGCGTGTGTGTGTGTTGTTCTTCCCCAAATTCCCCCCACCCCGAGAAGATAGTTAGCAAAGCCTTGTAAGACAACAAAAATAACGCATTTGTATTGATATTTTTCGTGATTATTATGTTTTCTTTTCATAGGATGCTAAAAAAAAACTCCTTATACACACTAACGCAACAGGTTGTAGTCATATCAGTTAATTAACCCATTACTTCATGAGCATTTTGTGAAAAATGGCTGTTTTCATTTAAAAGTCTCCCGTTACAAGTTCAAATTGCTATAAAACTATAAAAACTGCTTCAATACTTATCAACATTGGCACAAATGTTGACTGGACCATTGCCTTTGCAACAACATGCTCAGGCTTAAATTTCCTGTTACCATGGCAACGGGGGGACATCTCAAAATTGCCAAAAATCACTATTTTGCGTTGATTTTTTCCATCAAAATTGACTTCAAAGTACTGCAACTTCTCAATGGATTGAGATAGTCAAATGCTTTTCAGCGTAGATTACACGTTACCTTATGATCGATCTTGGGTCATTTTTAGCCTCTCACAAGTCCAAAATTTTCTTGGTGATGAGGGGGACTTCCGTCCCCCTTCAAACCCCCCAAACAGATGGGGGCAAATCCCCTTATGGCAACTCCCTGACGTATCTTTTGGTTGGGGGGCCGCGCCGAAAAAGTGGTCACTTTTTTAAACAACATTTCTCAAACAAAAATAAGTGCTGGGGCCTAAATAAGGCATTTTTCACCATTTGAGACACCAAAGGGGGGGGGGGCTGAAAAATGCGTTAAAAGGCGTATATATCGCGTAATGGGTTAAATTGATATACTTGTAATATAATATGCCTTCGTGGTCAATTCTAACGAATCAAAAGTCCAAACCGGAGTTAAATAGCCGATAAACACAGCTGAGACCCATATATTTCTTGATTAAACATAAGTTGACATATCTTTTTTTGCCTTTTAAGATGTTTCAGCTTTATCTTATTTATACATTGTATGTTATAATTTGTTTTTAAAAAAAACAACAGCTATAAAATTTAATGGTCAATAATTTTCTTGAACTTTTGACATCAGTGTCATATTTATATAAGTTGCTTTATCAATTTAATGACATAGCATCTTAAAAGTACAAAATTAAACACAAACTCAGTTCATTTTCATGTTTAACTGTATCATGTTTAACTGTAATATTTGTTGAAGACAAAAGAAGAAATATTTTCCAGTTCATCCGTTGCTGAAAGACATTCAAGCACCGTATGACCTTGACCTCATGAACGATGTAGATCTACGAATATTTTTCCCCTGTCAAAATAAAGAACTGGTTTCCTATCTTGCCCGATGTGACGGCGTAATAGATTGTTCGGATGCAACCGATGAGAAGAACTGTGCTTCTCTTGCAACTGGTCTGTGTATTTACTTACATTTATAACTACACGCTTAAGTAATAGTTTATTTGTAAAAAATTGAGATAAATGACCAAATTTTAATAAAAAGGACCATGCATGCTTTTTTCTTGACGTAAATTATACACATCCCTTTTGGAAGAAAGTCGAAACAATGCTCAAAAAATAAATTGTTTATCGGCCACCTTAAAACAAAAAAATTAAAAATGTTTATCGTTAATACATAAATAAATAAGTAAATAAAAATAACCAAATAAACATGTTAATGAAGTAATTAAAATAATAAAGACTTTATTTCAAGAGGCAACAACATAGTTGGGCAAGCAAAGTGTTCCCTATTAGCCTTTATATGCACGTCTTTTGTTTGTATTTGTTTTTATTTTACAGGAGTTTTTTTTTGAATTATGCCAGAAAATTTATCAGTATTTTTACAACGTAAAACAAAAATGTGAAATAGATTTTTTTGTGGAACTTTCTGTAAAAAGCTGCTTCAATCTGAGCACAGAGATAACAAATGTCCAAATTGTCGCCAAATGATGCAAAAAATTAGTCATTTTGGAGCACTGATTCATGAATCAAATTATAAATTGAAACAAATGACGGTTTTATTCAGTCTGTTCATGGCAGAAAACAAAAAGTCATGTCCAATAGAATCATCGGCAACTAAGACGGTATTTTACGTTTTACACAGAAGTAAATATTTCAATAGATACTCAGTATGTCCAAATTAATGTTAAAACTGTAAAAGTTAGAATCCATTGTCACATGAAAAAATATATAATTTATATTATTTGCATAAGATTAGGGTCGAATATTCCTTAACCTATCCCTTTATTGGTAACAAAAAACATTCCCTTATAAATTATATATTTCTTCATCCCTAACCCCGCTAAGTACGCAGGCTTTGTCGCCAGTATAGAGCCAAGTCAGTCTGCAAATCCGTCTTGTCCCACTAGGCATTATTCTATGACGGCTTAATTTTTGTAGTTTGTTTATAAAGTCCTTAACAATTTAGATAGACTAGTTACACAAGATTCAGAACGTTAGGATCAAAATGTGTTTATTGTATTTTTCTTTTATGAAGTTGATGGCTCGTGTGCGGTAGACCAGTTCAGGTGCGATAGTGGACGATGTATACATGTCAGTTTGGTCTGCAATTTTATTCAGGATTGTATTGACGCCTCCGATGAAATATGCGGTAATTCTCGTTCCTCTAAAGTCATACATGTAGTACATCCTTGCAATAAATAATATGTATGTATGTAGTCTATGCTTATTGAGGTTCCATCGACCCGTAAGGCACAAAAAGCAGCTTTCGCTGTCGAGTACAGACCCCGGACATGTCAGCAGTCATGCCCTTAAAGACCTAATCTTGAAGCACAAAGTGATGATAATTTACCTCCATGCAATTTGCATGGAGGGTTAGTCAAATAATTGAATTTTGAGCCAAAAGTAGGACACTGTATGGCGTTCAATGAGAACCTAAATGTACAGTATCCTGAGAAAAAAATAAAAGGAGGTAGCCCTTAAAAGGGCTGATGGTGCCAAGCAAAGTGCCTGCCGTTCAAGCCGTCTGCCGATGTCCTGTGCCTTCTCAGCGACAAGCTAGCTCCGAAGGGAAGTGAGCAGCAATAAATAATAAACAAAATAATACAATTTTATATGGGCCCGGGCTTTGACAATAAGGTAAAAACAACAACTGAATAGAGATTAACAAAAATGCGGAAACACTTGGTACACTAGGTTGAACACCACCAGTTCATTCATATCTACATTTTTTGTATTTGGTTTAAACATATTTATTTCCGAAAGTATATATAATGTACATACAAATAAATAACAAACAAAACATTTTTACACAATGGAAAAGGATGAGAATGAAAGACAAGTCTTTTAGAATTCTTCTCCTTTGTCGAACTATATGGTTTGTCTTAAATAAGTTAATAGTTATTATATACTAGACAAGGGAATAAGTATAAGTTATACACATATATAAATATATATTTATATATAAACATATTTAGAATAGATTAACTACACGTAGATGTCTAAAATGAATGAATATATATATAAAGGAAGACAACAAAATAGTGGATAAGAGAAGAAAGAGGATGAGAGAGGTTTATAGTCACAATAAAAATGGATCTAAATATTTTCGTTTTTTCTATATAATTGTGTACATTTGTAAATATAATAACGTTGTCCCGGTATGTAAGAGATAATTCGCCATAGAGAAGCTTATGAAGGTTTATGCTGAAGTCTTGCAAGTTAAGGAGGAGTGTTCTGCGGACGGCATCGTATGCCGAGCACTCGAAAAAGAAATGTTGGGTAGTTTCAATTTGCCCACAATTACACGAAGGGGTAAGAGAAATGCTTTTCAAAAAATGTGGTGATTCAATGCGCTGCATTCCGTTCGAAGTGTGAAGGACCTGCAGTTTACGACTACCTGTATAAAAGTGTTTTTGCGTATATTTCCTGTCCTTGTTTAAGAAAGTTTTAAATGAGAATATTGTATGGCTGTTTCGTATTATAACTTGTTGTTCCAATCACGAATATTTGATGGCAAGAAAGAATTGTGGTACAGAGTAGTCCTTGATGTAATTCCTCTGATATCTTCAGAGTTTCGTAAACTGTATCGGGATTGATCTGGATTTGGTATTAATGATGAGAGATAATCTGGAGTTTTGTTCGACTGCATAGTGTAAAACATAATTAGTTTGTGTTTATATCTTCTTTCTGATAACGATTCCCAATTAAGTTAGTGAGATAAGCTTGGTTGCCCCATTTGCAATGCGTGCACATTCATGTTGAATCTTATCAAGCTGTTCGAGTTCATATTGGGTACAATTATACCAAATTACATCACCGTATTCCAAAATAGGTCTAATGAATGCTATATAGATAATTTCCAAAGATTTACGATCCAGAGAGAATTTCAGTTTACGCATTATATTAACCCTTTTCCAAGCTTTATCAGTTATGTATTCAATATGTTTGTGCCATGTGCAGTCAGAAGAAAGAAAGATGCCTTCAGAAACTTCTGGATTTTTTTTGGTTAAACATATGCAATGAAGGATGATGCTGACGATTTCGCTTTCTGGTTACAATTAGGGAGTCTGCTGTGTTAGGATGCTCAACTATAACATAAAGACTGGTATCATCAGTAAAGAGGTTTATGAAAGATTCGATTTCATTAACAATATCATTTATAAAGATCAAAAATAGTAGGGGACTAAGTATAGAGCCTTGAGGGACTCCTGCTTTGACTCCTACTCCTCTATTTAACGATACTTTATACCTGCATTTAGTTATTATTTACTAAATCTAGGAAGGATTTTGCTTATATATTGAAAACAATATTATTGTTATTAGATCAAAAGAGCTTTCCGTGTCATAGGTAGCACATTACTTCATATGATCTTTATTATGTGTAAGGAGCACTGAATAGTTCATGAGCTCTTTGATTTACTCGTATTACATTTGTTTCCATGAATATTCAAAAAACAGGCATCCTGCTCTTGTTTTACAGAGTATCCACCTTGTACAGCAGACGAATTCCGGTGCACCAATGGTCAATGTATACCTATTTCCGGATACTGCAATGCCGACAATGATTGTATTGACGGAACCGATGAAAACATATGTGGTAATTGTGTTACTATCTAAATAAATATAGTATAACGTTAAATTTGATAAAAGTATTCACGTTTTCAAATGATAACTTAATACGTTATGACTAGTAATATGTAAACTTAATTTATTGCTTTTAAATATTCACTTGGTAAAGCAATTACTTAACAATACTTAATGTATAGATATCAAAGTCTTTCAATGTTGGTTTGTCTATATTCCATACTTACAACATGTGTTAATACAAAATGACCATCTGACTTTATTCTGAATAAAGTTCAGATCTACTTATTTCTAACATGTCGATTTGATTGCCATTGCCGTGTATGTTTCGCTTCATTGTGGTTAAGATTTCCCTAGCCATACAATCAAACCGTCGTTAACAGTAGTAACCTTCGAAGTAAAACAAATTGTTGAGATTTGTTAGAAAAAAAATGAAGTTTTTTCTTTTCAACAAATAAACTTGAAATGATAAACTCAATTTTAATGGATAAGATTGTTTTGCAAATTTACCTGCTGGCTTCATAAACAACGCCATGTTTTGTCTCAAAATCTTGAAAATCATCTACTCAGTATTAGTTTTCCAGAGGTTAAAATTAGAAACCGCTTCGTTTTCAAAAGTGTGAAAGCTGGCCGATGATTGTCTGTTGAAAAGGTCACGAGGTGACCTTTTGGTGCCCGTCAGATCTTAATGCGTAGTGTTAATTAGGAGCTGATTTTATTTAGATTGCATGTGACTTTAAAGTCACTCTCTTATTCCGCTGACAATAGCAGGTATCTTTGACAAGTGCCAAGCAAACCATATGAGACACCTGTCAGGGGAGTATAATTTTTTTTTCAGCTGGATATATGTCCAACTTTTAAGCATTAACTATGGACGAATATTTATTGTCCCGAATGTGTTAAATTATTTTTTATTTTAACCTATTGTGACGTAAAGTAACGTTACTATTTTACAAGACATCGTACAAAATACGATAATATATCAATTCAAATTTATTCATATACAGACACTTGCCAAGCGGGGGCTTTTCATTGTGACTATGTGAGATGTCTTCCAAACAGATTACATTGTGACAAATATATAGATTGTTCCGACGGCAAAGATGAAGAGTCATGTGACAACAGAGACATGCGGACATGCAGGGCATTATGGGAGGATGGTAACAGGGAGTCCGGAATGTACAGACTTTATGGTAGGGAGGGATTCACTTTTAATATCATTTTAATACACTAATTGATATTTCTGATAATATAACTTTTTAATTGTACATGTATATTTATTTTGATGGCAGTATATTCATCTATATTATGCGCAATTTAAGAATATAACAACATACTATTAAATCACTTGACGAATGATTTTACTTCTGCAAACAAAAGAAATGAGTTGTCAGTCAGGTAATTTAGGTGGCATAAAAATGATCACCGACAGTATGATATACATGTATTTGTTATATACGTATAAATGAAATATTGAGAAATATTGAAAACAAGGCGTATTTTCACTGTAAAAAAAATATTTTTCACTGCAGTGAACATATTTTCCGTATTTTTGCTGGTGTCTTCCCGGACTACTTTCTTCTAAATTCAGCCAAACCATAAACTTTTGGGGGAAGTTTTTCAAATTGTAATGTCAGAAAAACGAAAAATGTAAATAATAAACAGAATAAATACAGTAGAATCCCTTGTAAAGACCACCTCAGATTTAAGACCACCCCGCTTTTAAGACCAGTTTTTAAAAGAACAGACTTTTCTGTTCTTTATGTCAATGGTTACATGAACCAGAATTAAGACCACCTCACTTATCCACATTTAAGACCACTAAATTCAGTCCCAATTCCTTATTTTGTTCTATATTTGACCTCACTATTGAGACCACTGATATTAAAATCAACACTTCTAGATCTTAAATGTGTTGTTATGTTAATATTATCTGCTTGATTGCTCTTAGGCATGACACTTGATTACACAAAGTGTTAAATGCTGTTATTTATGGGATATTTAATGAAAAAGGGTGAGAATGTTAATTTCATATTGGTTTAATGTTGCTTTATGCACATTTGTATTGGGAAGAAATAAAGTCTGATATGATATGTGAATTATGTACCTCATACAATAATTATTATTGAAATCAGAACAAAGAAAATTTGATATTAAATTTCTTTAGAAATATGTTTTTTTCCCAGCAGATGTAACATTATAAAATATATACTTTTATATTGTATTTGCAGGTTAAGATACATATTGTTTGTTCATACAAAATGACTAAAATAGGCCCTGGTCATATCGTGTGTAAGCAATGATAAGAATATCCACAATTAAGACCACCCCACAATTAAGACCACCCCACAATTAAGACCACTTTGGTCCAGTCCCGATGGTGGTCTTAATTGAGGGTTTTTACTGTACAGGATTTATTTTCATCTTATGGTACGAAAATTATTATATTTCACTCGTAGCTACTCCCACTCATGAACTATTTATTATCATACCACTCGATGAAAATAATTCTTGTATTTATACAAACAAATCTTGAATATCTTCTATATCATTTTGAACATTTATTAAACATCAGATTCAAGATCCAATACCGTAAACCTGACGTTTCTTGCAACACAAACACATACATATAATAATACAATAAAACTTGCCAACATGACTACATTTCATGGACAATTATATTAACGGAAAATATACATATGTAGTCGAACAAGAGAGAAAAGGGAAGATAGAAAACAGGGAGGTTGAACTATTAGAGAAATTATATGAGCCGCGTCACGACAAAACCAACATAATGCATTTGCGGCCAGCTTGGATCCAGACCAGCCTGCGCATCCGCGCAGTCTGATCAGGATCCATGCTGTTCGCTATCAGTTTCTCTACTTGTAATAGGGTTGGTAAGCGAACAGCATGGATCCTGATCAGACTACGCGGATGCGCAGGCTGATCTGGATCCATGCTGGTCGCAAACCCATTATGTTGGTTTTGTCGTGACGCGGCTCATATATTGTTTCACTCCAAAATGAATCAAATGTTACATGAAATTATTATTAACACGAACTATTTATGAAATTATTGAAATAAAACACGAATAATTGCATAATTATTATTTAATTAAATAGAAACATGATCGCTGACAACATGTAACATTTTTGATCATCACATGTTATTGAGTTTATATCATTCATTTTTGTTTAATTACATAGGAAAATACAATTGATTCTTATAATGGCAAACTAACAAGTGCCAAAATAATATCAAGACCAAATCTATTCTTTGTTTGCAATGGAAATATTTTTCTTTTTCAGAAAAGAATTTCGATCTAAGTGTGCTTGTTTACTGCGATTTTCAATATATTCATCAATACAACGAGCTGCATACAGTATACCCCAATGTTGAACTTGTTGAAGGGTTTGTCAGAAATGTTTATTTTTACGGTTTTTTTTTTGTTGTTGTTAGCTCACCTGAGCAATGCTCAGGGTGAGCTATTGTGATGGCCCTGTGTCCGTCGTCCGTCGTCGTGCGTCGTCAACTTTTGAACATTAACAACATCTCCTCTGAAACCAATGACTGCACATCAACCAAACTTTACAGAAATGATCCTTTGGTGGTCCCCTTTCAAAGTTGTTCAAATGGTTCCGGTCTGTTGCATATGTAGGTCATAGGGCCAGAAAAGGATTTCAAAAAAACACAAAATTAAAAAATCTTCTTGTCTGAAAGTACATGGGCCAGAGCTTTGATTTTTGGTATATGGTATCATCTATGGGTTCTCTACCAAAGTTGTTCAAATTTTGTCCCTAGTGTCAAAATTGGCCCCGCCCCGGGGGTCATAGGTTTTTCCTTATATGTATATAGTAAACTCTAAAAAAATCTTCTTCTCTGATTTGGCAAAGGCTACAGATTAGATATTTGGCATGAAACATTGTGTAGTAGACCTCTATCAAGATTGTTCAAATAATGGCCCTAGGGTCAAAATTGGCCCCGCCCCGGGGGGTCATTGATTTTCATTACTTACATATAGTGAAAACTTGAAAAATCTTCTGGTCTGAAAGTAAATGCCCTAGAGCTTTGATATTTGGTCTATGGTATCATCTGAAGGTCCAATACCAAATTGTACAAATTTTGCCCCTAGTGTCAAAATTGGCCCCGCCCCGGGGGGTCATAGGTTTTTCTAATATGTATATAGTAAAACATAAAAAAATCTTCTTCTCTGAATTGGCAAAGGCTACAGGTAAGATATTTGGCATGAAACATTGTGTGGTAGACCTCTACCAAGATTGTTCAAATAATGGCCCTCGGGTCAAAATTGGCCCCGCCCTCGGGGGTCATTGATTTTCATTATATACATATAGTGAAAACTTGAAAAATCTTCTGGTCTGAAAGTAAATGGCCTAGAGCTTTGATATTTGGTCTATGGTATCATCTATAGGTCCAAAACCAAAGTTGTTCAAATTTTGTTCCTAGAATTAAAATCGGCCCCGCCCTGGGGGTCATAGGTTTTTCTAATATGTATATAGTAAAACATAAAAAAATCTTCTTCTCTGAATTGGCAAAGGCTACAGGTAAGATATTTGGCATGAAACATTGTGTGGTAGACCTCTACCAAGATTGTTCAAATAATGGCCCTCGGGTCAAAATTGGCCCCGCCCTCGGGGGTCATTGATTTTCATTATATACATATAGTGAAAACTTGAAAAATCTTCTGGTCTGAAAGTAAATGGCCTAGAGCTTTGATATTTGGTCTATGGTATCATCTATAGGTCCAAAACCAAAGTTGTTCAAATTTTGTTTCTAGAATTAAAATCGGCCCCGCCCCTGGGGGTCATAGGTTTTTCCTTATATGTATATTGTAAAACCTAAATAAAAAAACTTCTTCTCTGAATTTGTAAAGGCTACAGGTTAGATATTTGGCATGAAACAATGTAAAGTTGACCTCTACCAAGATTGTTCAAATAATGGCCCTCGGGTCAAAATTGGCCCTGCCCCGGGGGGTCATTGATTTTCATTATATACATATAGTGAAAACCTGAAAAATCTTCTGGTCTGAAAGTAAATGGCCTAGAGCTTTGATATTTGGTATATTGTATTATCTGAAGGTCCAATACCAAAGTTGATCAAATTTTGTCCCTAGTATCAAACTTGGCCCCGCCCTGGGGGGTCATAGGTTTTTAGCTCACCTGTCACAAAGTGACAGGGTGAGCTTTTGTGGGCGTCCGTAAACTTTTACTTTAAATGACATCTCCTCATAAACCGCTGAGCCAATTTCATCCAAACTTCACAGGAATGTTCCTTTTGTGGTCACCTTTAAAAATTCTTCAAAGAATTTAATTCCATGCAGAACTCTGGTTGCCATGGCAACCGATAGAAAAAACTTAAAATATCTTCTTTTAGAAAACCCAAAAAGGTAGAGCTTAGATATTTGGCATGAAACATCTTCTAGTGAGTGTCTATCAAGTTTGTTCAAATAAAAGCCCTGGGGTCAAAATTGGCTCCGCCCCGGGGGTCATTGATTTTCCCTATATGCATATAGTAAAAACTTAAAAAATCTTCTTTTAAAGAACCCAAAGAGCTAGAGCTAAGATGTTTAGCATGAAACATCTTCTAATTGGTGTCTACCAAGTTTGTTCAAATAAAAGCCCTGGGGTCAAAATTGGCCCCGTCCCAGGGGGTCATTGATTTTCCCTATATGCATATAGTAAAAATTTATAAAATCTTCTTTTAACGAACCCAAAGAGCTAGAGCTAAGATATTTAGCATGAAACATCTTCTAATGAGTGTCTATCAAGTTTGTTCAAATAAAAGCCTTGGGGTCAAAATTGGCCCCGCCCCAGGGGGTCATTGATTTTCCCTATATGCATATAGTGAAAACTTATAAAATCTTCTTTTAAAGAACCCAAAGAGCTAGAGCTAAGATATTTAGCATGAAACATGTTCTAATGGGTGTCTACTCAATTTGTTCAAATAAGAGCCCTGGGGTCAAAATTTGCCCTGCCACGGGGGTCATTGATTTTCCTTATATGTGTAAAGCAAAAACTTTTTAAAAAAATCTTCTTTGAAAAAAAACAAATAGCTAGAGTTTTGTTACTAAGCATGAAACATCTTCTAGTGAGTGTCTACAAAGTTTGTTCATATAAAAGCCCTTGGGTCAAAATTGGCCTCGCCCCGGGGTCATTGATTTTATTTATGTGTATAGCAAAAACTTAAAAAAAACTTCTTTGAAAAAACCCAAATAGCTAGAGTTAAGATATTAAGCATGAAACATCTTCCAGTTAGTGTCTTCAAAGTTTGTTCAAATAAAAGCCCTAGGGTCAAAATTGGCCCTGCCCCGGGGGACATTGATTTTCCTTATATGTGTATAGCAAAAACTTAAAAATCTGATTAAAACAAAAAAACAAATAGCTAGAGTTTAGATATTAAGCATGAGACATCTTCTAGTGAGTGTCAAATGGGGTCAAAACTGGCCCCGCCCTAGGGGTGTCATTGCTTTTAACTATATGTGTATAGTTAAATCTTTAAAAATCTTTTTTTTAAAAACTCAACGAGCCAAACCTTAGATGTTTAGCATGAAATATCTTCTAATGGGTGTCTACCAAGTTTGTTCAAACAAAAGCCCTGGGGTTTAAACTGGCCCCGCTCTAGGGGCCTATATACAGTGAGCGACTTCAGGGCCATCATGGCCCTCTTGTTGTTATTGTTGTTGTCTGTTTACTCGATCGAGTATTTTTATCGTTCGAGGGGGGCATATACCCATCCATCGTATATCGGTAAATTTACATTGAGAAGAAACTGGAAATAATAGACACTGACTACACGTGATTACTCAAGTTAATGTTTTCTAGGTCTACTTTGAATAGCAGTCAATGATCGGCTTTGTTGTAAATAATAGTTTGAATTCCTGGTTATTGTACTCAGTGATTTTTGAACTCAATGACTTTCAATTTCTTCCGCCGAAAATGGTAAATCATTTGAAAAATCGTTCGAATTAGAATTAGAGTACTACACGGTGTCTTCAAGCTGTTACTGGCCCTCTTATTGAACTGAGCTTAATATTAAGTATTAAAATATACTTTTGAAATATTAAAACGAATGCTATGCAATCTACACTAAAACATAATCGGCCGAATATAACACGTTTTTAAATATAAGTTATATATATAAGATATATCATACACGTGAGACATTCAGACTGTTCGGGTTGTGATATATACGACTTAACATAGTTTAATGAGTATAATATTATATCTGTTTGTTTTGAGTGAATATGATACATATATCATCGAGGAGTGAGCTATAAAAATGTTATATATTAAAGAATTCCTTTCTTTTTGTTTTAAACCTTCGTGCAATAAATCAGTATTCTTCACTGCTTTTAATAAAGCGCGTGAAACGGCCTTCGTAGTCGATTACTACGCGTAAAAACTTCAAACTAGTGTTAAATAGCTGATAAACACTGCTGGGACTCATATTATTTCTTAGATGATTATATTATATTACATTAAAATGCTCTGAAATTATCAAACATCAAAAATCAAACATTATAAAACTCATACTTGTTTTTAAATTTTATTCTTTATTTTGGTGTCTTGTTATATATTGCAAAAAGTTACTCATTGGCCAATTATCCAAAGTTGATAATAGACAGTCAAAAATTGAAGCCAGCAAAGTCCATACAAGAAGTTAGAAGGGTAATTGTTAACTCCCAATAAATTATATTCACTAATTGTATAATAAACATTGTAGCAGATTGAATGTTTGTGTATATTTTGTAGAGATGACGGTGACATGATATTTTTAACAGCTTTAAACGGTCGAGAATCTTTCGAATCCAAAATGGACATAAAGTTTCTTAGCGATATATTCACCGGAGCCGCTTCAACATGTACGCAAGAGGTATGTATCGCTTTAAGTACCACTCCTTTATATTTGATATTGAAAATTATTCTAGCTCCTACTCATCCCAGGGTCGGTGTTGTCGTTGGCTTAAATCATTTAGGTTCAGTTTTGTATGCAACCTTTTTGTTTAACTTAATTTCTATCAGTCTCTGAAGATGTTTGTTTAAAACGTCACTTATGCCTTAGAAATGACTTTTGTTATAGTTTCTTTTCAAAACAATTGAATACATTCACTGAAGACTTGATGCATGTCTAACGGTCACTGTCCAAGATCCATAACTCTGATGTGGATTTTGACTAAATGGCGAGTCTTTGTGTTTTTAGAAAATTACTGGATGAAGTTATGATAGTCACTGAAAGTATCTACACATGTCTTTGAGGCCATTACTTTAGCATTAATATTGACTGAATTATTGTTATTTATGAGAAAAGAAAATTCCGGTAAACATGACGTTTTGCATGTAAAATCAACTTTCAAAATTACTAAAAATATTTACATGAAACTTAAATCATGTCTTTGTAACCATTTTTGTCAGTCACTGTCCAAAACAGCATTGCTTTGAACTGTATTTTGCCCTTTGTTAACTTAGAAACTACGTTGATAAAGTTTTGTGTGCTACAGCAATCTTCATGCAGAACTCGTGATGGTATTCGCTTTCAACTTCTTTACAATTATATTTGAGCCGCGTCACGACAAAACCAACGTAATGCGTTTGCGACCAGCATGGATCCAGACCAGCCTGCGCATCCGCGCAGTCTGATCAGGATCCATGCTGTTCGCTTACAAACGAGAAACTGATAGCGAACAGCATGGATCCTGATCAGACTGCGCGGATGCGCAGGCTGGTCTGGATCAATGCTGGTCGCAAACCCACTATGTTGTTTTTGTCGTGATGCGACTTATTTGTTGTTCACTATCTAAGATCTTAGAAAATTTAAGTAATACTTTGTACATATAGTTAGTTTCCAAGACTCATAGCTATGTCATGTACTAGTATTAAGAATGACATCTTCCTCTTTGTGACTTGCTACATTGTTTCACTATCAATCATTGAGAGTAGTCGAGCGTGCTGTCATTCTGTCAGCTTCTTGCCAATTAAACTTCTTCTCTTTTTCAAACCTTTCTCTCTCTTATACTTGCTCAAGTATGGACAAAAATGGTAAGGAAATAAATTACCTGTAAATTTTATTATAAAAAGGAAAATGCGCACATTATACCTCGATGATATTTATATTGGAAGTAGCTCACCAACGTCATTTATGAATTAAAATGTTTCAAACTGACAAATAATGTCCAACTTGTTATAAAAAACAGTACATGTACTTTGAAATAGAACACAGTCATTTTTCATTACTTATTATAGAATGTGGAATGTTAGCACTAATGTTTTTATAAGAACTTTACTTCGCAGCCCTTAACGTGTTAGTAACAGCAGTGATTTATTAACTTTTGCCACTAGTATAAAACCAGGCAAGTTTTTACACCCATGGCAGCACCGTCCGGTGAGTTCAATAGGTAGAGCGTTAGACTCTGCAATGTACAGAAGTTCATTTAGTTCATTGCGCAAGTGAAGGCAACTAGTACTGCTTAACTATGGAACGCCTGGACTGTCTTATGTGTAGAATGACTGATATACATGGTTAAATGTCATTCTGTTGAGTCCGAGATACAATATGCTTGGTCAAAATCCCAATATACTGGGTGGAAATCCAAATGCGCTCAGTTATTGAAGTGTAATGTTGTGTGGTGATTACATTTTATTCAGTCAAGTCAATGTATTGCCGGGTGCATTAGTCGTTCTGTTCAGTTCTTAAAACAAACAGGCATGTGGTAACACAATTATGTTGAGTTAAAAAGATATGTTGTAGGGTGTGACAGTTGTTATGTTCGGTTAAAATAGCTCTTCTTATCATGTTCAACCATGAAAATAAACAGTTGAGTGGTACTATCATTTCGTTTGGCTGAGGCAGTGTATTATTGGGTGATACTTTTATTATTTTCAGTTGCAATGACATGCTGTTGGGTGCTTTATTTAGACTGTTTAGTCGTGAAATAGAACTGTTGAATAGTACTATCATTATGTTCAGTTCAGATAATATACTGTTCGGTGCAGAGGTCATTATGTTCAGGTGTGAACACAAACTGTTATGTGATACCGTTATTATGTTTAGTTCAGATGATATACTGTCCGGTGCAGAGGTCATCATGTTCAGTAGTGAACACAAACTGTTGTGTGATACCGTTATTATGTTCAGTTCAGATGATGTACTGTTCGATGCAGAGGTCATAATGTTCAGTAGTGAACACAAACTGTTGTGTGATACCGTGATTATGTTCAGTTCAGATGATGTACTGTTCGGTGCAGAGGTCATTATGTTCAGTAGTGAACACAAACTGTTGTGTGATACCGTTATTATGTTCAGTTCAGATGATATACTGTTCGGTGCAGAGGTCATTATGTTCAGTAGTGAACACAAACTGTTGTGTGATACCGTTATTATGTTCAGTTCAGATGATATACTGTTCGGTGCAGAGGTCATTATGTTCAGTAGTGAACACAAACTGTTGTGTGATACCGTTATTATGTTCAGTTCAGATGATGTACTGTTCGGTGCAGAGGTCATTATGTTCAGTAGTGAACACAAACTGTTGTGTGATACCGTCATTATGTTCAGTTCAGATGATAAATTGTTCGGTGCAGAAGTCATTATGTTCAGTTCAGATGATATACTGTTCGGTGCAGAGGTCATTATGTTCAGTAGTGAACACAAACTGTTGTGTGATACCGTCATTATGTTCAGTTCAGATGATGTACTGTTCGGTGCAGAAGTCATTATTTTTAGTTCAGATGACAGTAGCGTAGCCGGGCATACGCCAGTACGCCGTAGGCGTACTAAACGAAAATGAATTTCAAAAAATCAAAAAGTCTTAAATGTTGAAAACAGTTGTCCAAATCAGTACCCTAACCCGTGTTAGGCATCGCCGTGAGTTTTGACGGAGAAAAAGGGATTTGCTGACAAAAAAAAATTGTTATTAAGCGATTTAAATAGTGTATCGGTATTTTTGTTGCAAGTGTAGAACAGCTAGTACTATTTTAAGTAAGACAGTGTCATGCGTATTGACTTTATAGTATCTTATCGTAGAGTCAAATTATATTCCGAATGTTGTTTACATATAAGAAGTTATACTAGCGGGAAAAATCAAATGGCGTCCCAATGTAAAACGTCCGAAGAACATGAGCCTTCTTACGTAGATATTTTCAACTGCACCGTTTTAAACGATGGACAGAAAGTCACTTTATTAAAGTCAGATTGGCCCGATGTCCATAAATATGCATTTAAATCGAGGTAAGTTTATGCAGATCAAGAAATTTAAAGTAGGTAAAATAATGCAATTTGTCATTAAATCCTATTCAAATGTATTTTTTCTATCAAATTACATCAACTATTATTCTATTTTATTTTTAACTAGATCTATAATAAAACTGAAATAAAGAGTCATTTTTAAACGTTGTATAGGGCGTACGGACTTTACCAGGGAAGTGAGTCATTAGTGAGGAAGTGGGTTAAATGGTGGACAGACAGGGCACTTGCGTTGGACCGTCCACAAGCTCCTGATACACTTCTAGGAACATTACCACTGGCTAATGAGCAGTACTATCCAAAAGTCTGTTGTTGTTTGTTAGTACTGATCACCATGCCAGTGTCTACGGCTACAGCTGAACGATCATTCAGCACCATGAAGAGATCTACCATGACTAGAGAACGGCTGTTTGGGCTTGGCCTAATGAATATTTACAGAGACATGAAAATTTACTCTGAGTATATAGTTGATAAATTTGCTGCAAGAAAACAACAACACCTTGCATTTGTCTTCAGAGAAAAACCATCTCGGCATAGATATCATCATGAAATTTATCACCGTGGCGATTTTGCGACTCCGCAAAAATGTTATTGCACTGGCATAATTATATTTTGACAAGACATCATTTGCGTTACATAAACATAACGCTAAGACGCGCTAAATGTTAGAGTTATACAATAGGCGCTTCAATGAAAAATGTTTCTTTATCACTTCAAACGGTCTTTGTTTTATTGTTTATTTGTTTATTACTAAATTTATTTAGCGAGTTGAATAAAATGATATTATGCTCGCCAGAGGCTCACATAATACCATTTTATTCAACTCGCTAAATAAATTCAGTATTAAACTTATACACTCTTTCAATATCCTTTATTAGTAAGATAAGAAGGGAATTAAATATATTGTCAAATGTCTCCAGATTGCGTTATTTTGCATCTATAAATTCAAATTTTCTTGGGGGAAGACCCCCGAACCCCCTACCATTTACAAAGGGAGGGGGCCACCACCTCCCTTAACCCGTCAGAGGCTCACATAATATATCATTTTATTCATCCATTTAATAAATTTAGTATTAAACTTACACTCTTTCAATATCCACTATTTATTAGATAAGAAGGGAATTAAATATATTGTCAAATGTCTCAAGATTGCGTTATTTTGCATCTATAAATCCGAATTTCCTCGGGGGAAGACCCCCGAACCCCCTACCATTTACAAAAGGGGGGGCCCATCTTCTCCCTTAACACGCAAAAGGCTCACATAATATATAATTTTATTCAACTCATTTAATAAATTTAGTATTAAACTTACACTCTTTCAATATCCACTATTTTATTAGAAAAGAAGGGAATTAAATATATTGTCAAATGTCTCCAGATTGCGTTATTTTGCATCTATAAATCCGAATTTTCTCCCCCGAACCCCCTACCATTTACAAAGAGAGGGGGCCACCCCTCCCTTAACCCACCCCAAGGCGTATAATTACTTTTGGCCGCGCTACGCCACTGGATGATATACTGTTCGGTGCACAAGTCATTTGACAATGCGCTGAGTGGTCATACAATTATGTTGGGTTCATTCGGATATCTTCGCGTCAAACAAGATGGCGGGCGGGAGCAACTAATTTCCATAGGTCACGTCGAGGCTAATGACCACTAAATTGCCAAAACAATTTTCTTCCCCGTAAATACCCAAACTCCTCACAGTGATTACCTCCCTTGGCAGAATTGTAATCACTGCCTTCAAAGACGTCACATGATGATGAAAGTCACATGACGTAACGTCGAAATTCAAATGTAAATATCGACCGTTACAAAGAAAATCTAACGTTATTTTTTTTCTTTCTGTTTTATTTTTAACTTTTAGTGCCTACGTTCGATATAGTTTATCAAAAAATTATCGAAAGTATACAAAATAACGAAAAATAAAGTCAAAAGCTAAAAAATATAAAATAACAAAATATTGTCTCGGTAGAAAATATTCTCATAATTTTAAAATTATTTCTAAATATTCATATTATTTATTTATTTATTCATAAACACAGTTAAATAAATGATAGAAAACTTATCTGATAGATAAAAGCAGTAGATAAAACAATTTTTGAAAAAATATAGTATATCAGAAATTCTGATATATTGGGACCTTGGTGGCAGAGATCTACGCCGAAGAATTAAGGGGAGATCACTGTGTGGAGATTGGTAAATACCATCGGGAGGTTAAAAACGTTATTTCCATAAATTGGACAGATCGTATGGAATATTTAATACCGAATGGGTATTTTATCAAGTTAATTTATGACTATACTATACTGGTACTGTTACAGTCATAATGGGCACAGTATATAAAACTTAAAATATGGGTAAGGGTAGTCTGTTCAATTCTCACTAACCAGATAGAAAAATCCTTAAATGTTACTAAAAATAGCGGTGTTGGAAAATCTTATCTCACATGGGCTTATCTCACACTCAACGTGCAGCACTTCTAAATAATACGCGATTCACTCCTATTTTAATAAAAATGAAACGTCAAAAGGTCAAAATGTATTAAATATTTGTGAACTAATCTATTAAATTGTCTACGGAATCAAAATAGATTGATATTAACTTTCACACTGCAATGAGTCCTACTCTACCTAGATCCGCCCTTTTCAATAACGATCTGTTACTAAAAATAGCACACTTTAAAATATCGAAACATTCTTCGTAAAATCGGATATTATGACACTTTGCCTGAAAAACATTAATGTTTTTTGTTATGATAACGATGCTTCTTGATGACGAAACTCATTTTGATATATTTTAATTGAATATTCGGCCAAAATAACCGAAAAAGTAGAAAAATCTTTGCAAACGGTAAACGCTTTTTTGTCAACCATTGAAGTATGGACTGAATTCCTTATAAACACTAATATTATGGCACTTTCCGTTTTTAATATCGATGTGTTTTATCATGATAACCTTGCTTTTTGATGAGGGATCTTATATGAATTTATTCTCATTAAATTTTTCACACATAAACTTGGTCAGAAGAATTTTTTGCGGACGTACATAATGCTTTTTAATCCTAAGCCCCGCCCCCTTTTCAAAACTAGGTACGTTGTAATGCGCGTAGCAAGTACATTCACTGATATTTGTGTGTCCAGGTGAGTGAGAAAAATAATCAACCATTGGGTTAGCTAGAGGATAGGGAAATCCCAACCCTCGGGCAATCGGTTCCATCGGGAACTCGCCAAGGCTCGTTCCCGATGGAACCGATCACCCTCGGGTTGGGATTTCCCTATCCTCTATCAAACCCAATGATAGATTCTATTAGTCACATATGACCGCCGTAAATAAAACTTGAAATATATGTGTTGGTAACTTTTTAGACTTACAAGTGGACACATCAAACGAAATTTAAAATATGAAACATAATATACAAGTAAGGCAAACCTATTTGAGTCACACATGGCCACAGTATATGGAACGTTAAATGTAAGTATGGAAACCCCATTTGAGACACACATGACCACAGTAAATGGAACATTATATATAAATAAGGGTAGCCTAGTAAAGTCAAACATGGCCAAATATAAAGAAAATTCTATATAAGTAAGTGAAACCTAATTGAGTCACACATGGCCACAATATATTAGTAGACATAATGTTTAAAATAGAGAAAAACAGAATCCCTTAAGAAAGCACAACACTGCAAAATTGAAAATGTTGCAGACTCGGTTTGATTGAGCCTGTTCATGGACGGTACTGGAAAGTGCAAGTTACCGTCCACGCCCCCTAGCACCGGCTTAAGCAGAATTCAACATTTAACACGAAAATGGTGAAATTTTGAATTTAGAAACATCCGAAGATGATGTGTTCATACGGCGGTTATCATGGCGGTTATCATGGAACCTTCAATGTGACGCAGTAGTGCCATTCCATGATAAGCGGCGTAAGGTCCCCAAGTAAAAGAATGCTTTTGCCAAAAACGAGAAAACAATGGGCGGAACAAAATAAAATGGAATTTTGAAAGGGGATCTGAGGTTATGAAGTCAGGGAAATGTATTTGAGTCTAATTTTATTAGGCTACCCTTACTTATATATAATGTTGCATATACTTTAATCATATGTGACTCAAATAGATTTCCCTTACTTAAACATAATGTTCCATATATTTTGGCCTAGTGTGACTCAATTAGGTTACCGTTACTTATATAGAATGTTCTTCATAATGTGGGTATGTGTGACTTTATTGCGCTACCCTTACTTAATATATTTAATGTTCCATATACTGTGGCCATGTGTGACTCAAATAGGTTTCCCTTACTTAAATATTATGTTCCATTTATTGTGGTTATGTGTGACTCAAATGGGTTACCAACACATATATTTTAAGTTGCATATGCTGTGGCCATATGTGACTTTAATAGGCTACTTATATGCTCCATATACTGTGGTCATGTGTGACTCAAATAGGGTTCCCTTACTTGTATATGATGTTTTATATTTTAAATTTCGTTTGCTGTGTCCATTTGTGACTCTTATAGGTTACCAAAAAGATAAATTTTAAGTTATATTTACGGTGGTCATGTGTTACTTTAACAGGCTACCCTTACCCATCTTTTAAGTTTTATATACTGTACCCATTATGACTGTAACAGTATAGTATAGTCATGAATTAACTAAATAAAATACCCATTGGGTATTTAAAAGTCCAATTTATGAAAATAACGATCTTAAGCCCCCGATAATATTTACAGGGAAGAAAATTGTTTTGGCAATTTAGTGGTCATTAGCCTCGACATGGCCTATGGAAATTAGTCGCTCCCATCTTGTTGCCCGAAAATATCCGAATGAACCCAACATAATTGTGGTATCACATAACAGTTTGTGTTCACTATTGAACATAATGACCTCTGCACCGAACAGTTTATCATCTGAACTGAACATAATGATAGTACCAAAAAACCACTGAACATAACGACATTTGCACCGAACAACACATTGACTTGACTGAAGAAGATATAATCAGCACACAAGATAATGATAGTACCATTTTAGATAATGATTGTACCATTTAACAGTTCTATTTCACGACTGAACAGAAGAAATAAAGCACCCAACAGCATGTCATTGCAACTGAAAATAATAAAAGTATCACCCAATAATACACTGCCTCAGCCAAACAAAATGATAGTACCACTCAACTGTTTATTTTCATGGTTGAACATAATGAGAAGAGCACCAATTGGCATATTATTATAACCGAACATAATAACTGTAACACCCTACAACATATCTTTTTAACTCAACATAATTGTGTTACCACATGCCTGTTGGTTTTAAAAACTGAACATAACGACTTATGCACCCGACAATACATTGACTTGACTGAATAAAATACAGTCAACACACAACATAGCACTTCAATAACTGAGCACATTAGGATTTCCACCCAGCATTTTGTATCTCGGACACAACAGAAAGACATTTAACCAGGTATATCATTCATTCTTAACATAAGACAGTCCAGGCGTTCCATACTTAACTTACCAGGAACGATGCGGTGGCTGAACATTGCTGTCGCTAACTGATGTATTCCGCAATGAAAACTACCAAGATCTTGCAGTTTGACCAGACTCATTGCTGCTGGGAGAGAACTCACTTTGTTGTATTTTGACAATGAAATACCTTGAACTTCACAATAAAGAAAAACATATCCATTCCACAAATTCAGGGGCATTTGTTAGCTTGTAGTGTCAGCTGGTAATGTTTATTTTATAATTCAGATCACGCAGAGATGTAAACAAGCATACGAAGAGGCTGCGATGACCGATGACCCTAACCACGAGCATAAATATTATTATTGCAAATGCGTCATTATGACATTGAAACTTGGAATGATACACGAAATCAAGTAGGTTGTATTTAAATTCTTTGTCGTATGCAATGTTGCACCGTATACAGCACACGACGTATATATACAGCTCACGACGTATATACCTTACACCTCACGACGTATATAGCCTACAGCTCACGACGTATGTAGCTTACAGCTCACGACGTATGTAGTTTACAGCTCACGACGTATGTAGCTTACAGCTCATGACGTACATAGCTTACAGATAATACCGTATATAACTTACGACGTATATAGCTTACGACGTATAAAGTTTACAGCTCATGACGTATACAGCGTACAGCTCATGACGTATATAGCTTACAACTCATGACGTATATAGCTTACAACTCATGACGCATATAGCTTACAGCTCATGACGTATATAGCTTACAACTTATGACGTATACAGCGTACAGCTCATGACGTATATAGCTTACAGCTCATGACGTATATAGTTTACAACTCATGACGTATACAGCGTACAGCTCATGACCTATATAGCTTACAACTTATGGCGTATATAGCTTACGACGTATGTAGCTTACAGCTGATTACGTATATAGCTTACAGCTCATGACGTATATAGCTTACAGCTCATGACGTATAAAGCTTACTTCACGACGTATATACCTTACAGCTCACGACGTTTATACCTTACAGCTCACGACGTATATAGCTTACAGCTCACGACGTATGTAGCCTACAGCTCACGACGTATGTAGTTTACAGCTCACGACGTATATATCTTACAACTCATGACGCATATAGCTTACAGCTCATGACGTATATAGCTTACAACTTATGGCGTATATAGCTTACGACGTATATAGCTTACAGCTGATTACGTATATAGCTTACAGCTCATGACGTATATAGCTTACAGCTCATGACGTATAAAGCTTACTTCACGACGTATATACCTTACATCTCACGACGTATATATCTTACAGCTCATGACCTATATAGCTTACAGCTCACGACGTATGTAGCCTACAGCTCACGACGTATGTAGTTTACAGCTCACGACGTATATATCTTACAGCCCACGACGTATGTAGCTTACAGCTCACGACGTAAATAGCTTACAGCTCACGACAAATATAGCCTACAGCTCACGACGTATGTAGCCTACAGCTCATGACGTATATAGCTTACAGCCCACGACGTATGTAGCTTACAGCTCACGACGTATATAGCTTACAGCTCACGACGAATATAGCCTACAGCTCATGACGTATGTAGCCTACAGCTCATGACGTATATAGCTTACAGCCCACGACGTATGTAGCTTACAGCTCACGACGTATATAGCTTACAGCTCACGACGTATATACCTTACAGCCCACGACGTATGTAGCTAACAGCTCACGACTTATTTAGCCTGCAGCTCACGACGTATATAGGTTACATCTCACGACGTATATAGCCTTCAGCTCACGACGTATGTAGCTTACAGCTCACGACAAATATAGCCTACAGCTCACGACGTATATAGCTTACAGCTCATGACGTATGTAGTTTAAGACGTATATAGCTTACAGCTCATGACTTATATAGCTTACAGCTCACGACGTATATAGCTTACAGCTCACGATTTATATAGCCTACAGCTCATGACGTATGTAGTTTAAGACGTATATAGCTTAAAGCTCATGACTTATATAGCCTACAGCTCACGACGTATAAAGCTTTCAGCTCACGACGTATTTAGCTTACAGCTCACGACTTATATATCTTACAGTTCACGACGTATATAGCTTACAGCTCACGACGTATATAGCCTACAGCTCACGACGTATATAGCTTACAGCTCACGACGTATATATCTTACAGCTCATGACCTATATAGCTTACAGCTCATGACGTATAAAGCTTACTTCACGACGTATATACCTTACAGCTCACGACGTATATACCTTACAGCTCACGACGTATATAGCTTACAGCTCACGACGTATGTAGCCTACAGCTCACGACGTATGTAGTTTACAGCTCACGACGTATATATCTTACAGCCCACGACGTATGTAGCTTACAGCTCACGACGTATATAGCTTACAGCTCACGACAAATATAGCCTACAGCTCACGACGTATGTAGCCTACAGCTCATGACGTATATAGCTTACAGCCCACGACGTATGTAGCTTACAGCTCACGACGTATATAGCTTACAGCTCACGACGAATATAGCCTACAGCTCATGACGTATGTAGCCTACAGCTCATGACGTATATAGCTTACAGCCCACGACGTATGTAGCTTACAGCTCACGACGTATATAGCTTACAGCTCACGACGTATATACCTTACCGCCCACGACGTATGTAGCTAACAGCTCACGACTTATATAGCCTGCAGCTCACGACGTATATAGGTTACATCTCACGACGTATATAGCCTTCAGCTCACGACGTATGTAGCTTACAGCTCACGACAAATATAGCCTACAGCTCACGACGTATATAGCTTACAGCTCATGACGTATGTAGTTTAAGACGTATATAGCTTACAGCTCATGACTTATATAGCTTACAGCTCACGACGTATATAGCTTACAGCTCACGATTTATATAGCCTACAGCTCATGACGTATGTAGTTTAAGACGTATATAGCTTAAAGCTCATGACTTATATAGCCTACAGCTCACGACGTATAAAGCTTTCAGCTCACGACGTATTTAGCTTACAGCTCACGACTTATATATCTTACAGTTCACGACGTATATAGCTTACAGCTCACGACGTATATAGCCTACAGCTCACGACGTATATAGCTTACAGCTCACGACGTATATATCTTACAGCTCATGACCTATAGCTTACAGCTCACGACGTATATAGCTTACAGCTCACGACGTATATAGCTTACAGCTCACGACGTATATAGCTTACAGCTCACGACGTATATAGCCTACAGCTCACGACGTATATAGCTTACAGCTCACGACGTATATATCTTACAGCTCATGACCTATATAGCTTACAGGTCACGACGTATATAGCTTATAGCTCACGACGTATATAGCTTACAGCTCATGACGTTTATAGCTTACAGCTCACGACTTTATATATCTTACAGCTCATGACGTATATAGCGTACAGCTCATGACGTATTTAGCTTACAGCTCACGACTTCTATATCTTACAGCTCATGACGTATATAGCCTACAGCTCATGACGTATATAGCTTACAGCTCATGACGTATATAGCTTACAGCTCACGACGTATATATCTTACAGCTCATGACGTATATAGCGTTCAGCTCATGACGTATATAGCTTACAGCTCACGACTTATATAGCCTATAGCTCACGACGTATATAGCTTACAGCTCACGACGTATATAGCTTACAGCTCACGACGTATATAGCTTACATCTCATGACGTATATAGCTTTCAGCTCATGACGTATATAGCTTACAGCTCACGACGTATATATATCTTACAGCTCATGGCGTATATAGCTTACAGCTCATGACGTATATAGCTTACAGCTCATGACGTATATAGCTTACAGCTCATGACGTATATAGCTTACAGCTCACAACGTATATATCTTACAGCTCATGGCGTATATAGCTTACAGCTGATGGCGTATATAGCTTACAGCTCATGACGTATATAGCTTACAGCTCATGACGTATATAGCTTACAGCTCATGACGTATATAGCTTACAGCTCATGACGTATATAGCCTACAGGTCATGACGTATATAGCCTACAGCTCACGACGTATATAGCTTACAGCTCATGACGTATATAGCTTACAGCTCATGACGTATATATCTAACAGCTCATGATGTATATAGCTTACAGCTCACGACTTATATAGCCTACAGCTCACGACGTATATATCTTACAGCTCACGACGTATACAGCTTAGAGCTCACGACTTATATAGCCTACAGCTCACGACGTATATAGGTTACAGCTCACGACGTATATAGCTTACAGCTCATGACGTATATAGCTGACAGCTCATGACGTATATAGCTTACAGCTCATGACGTATATAGCTTACAGATCATGACGTATATAGCTTACAGCTCGTGACGCATATAGCTTAAGACGTATATAGCGTACAGCTCACGAGGTATATAGCCTACAGCTCATGACGTATGTAGCTTACGCATGAGTTGAATACGATGATTGTAAATTTATACAGCTGACGGTTAACTTTATTCAATAGTTGATAACGTATATAAATCTACGCAGGTAGTATATTGCGGATGAAAAGGTATTAGAAACTTTATTCATGTAAACGTTTTCATATTACTACATGTATTAAAATTCTATTCATACATATAACTCAATTGAGAGTGTCTTTATTCGCCGTCCTACCACTTTTCCACTGGACCAGTTCTTAAAATCCATTTTGTTTAGGAAAATTCAAACACAAAGAATAAACTTCACACCACTTATAATGCTGTACATTTGTGCTTTTTATTTGACATTTAAATAAATGGTTTCATACTTTTTATTGTTTATTGTTCAATAAAAAACATTTTTGGTTGAAAGAGACCAAAGCATGAATGTTTTACATTTGAAATGGCATACTTAACCCTACTGAATATGTAAAACTAATGCAATTACAACAGATATGTGTAGTTGGCGGTCTAACTATCCACGGTGCATATCCATATCGGTACCCTCTTTGCGAAATCTGCTGAAACGGTACCCTCTTTGCTTATGCACAGGCCACTCTCTGCTAAAAACAAACCAACGATAGATAACAATCCAGTAAAATTTCAATACAATAAGGAAAGAAGGTATGACACGTAGAAAAGATGTATACCACGGAACACTAGAATGTTTTATCTATGTGCTGATTTGTCATGTGCCCGTTTTTCATGTACTACAACTTCACAATAAGCTACAAAAAATCAACATGTCTTGCTTCGCCCATCACCTCGACATATTTTTCGGGCTAAAAATGAACCTGTGGCTTGATTATATATGCATCATACATATTTAGTATGTTCATTTACATATCATCTTCGGACAAATGGCAGTATATTGTCAAAAATAATTGTAAAATTCATAAAAACACCCTACTTTCGGTTTTGCAGCGGCACGGGCTACCTCTCTTCATTTGAATTTTTATATCACAGGCACCCTCTCATTTTTTTACACATAGGTACCCTCAAGGCACGACATATGCTTTTATTTGCGTTAATCGTAAGGTATGTATAAATATTTCTTACTTTTATGTAAATATTACATACTTCACGATTAACGCAAATAAAAGCATATGTCGTGCCTTGAGGGTACCTATGTGTTAAAAAATGAGAGGGTGTCTGTGATGTAAAAATTCAAATGAAGAGAGGTACCGAAGAGAGGTTTCAGCAGATTTCGCAAAGAGGGTACCGAAATGGATATGCACCGTGATACATGCGTAATATAGACAACATAAGAACGGCTTGTAAACACTTTTTTATGATTTTTGAGAATTACGCGCTCGAGTAGCCTAAACTTCTAGTACATCAGGCAAACGACTATGAAACCAGGTCCAAATCCTTTTTTGTCCTTTAATGATTGGTAAGCCAAAAAAGCAACAGCTAGCTTGGTAGCATCGCCACATGCATTACTTCATATCACATGGCGTATTTTGAACCTACAGCGACAAGCGGCAAAAGTTAGCGCCCATAACCACTCTGCCACGTTTATCCAAATATAAAGAAGCACATAGGCAGCATGTTTAAATTAAGTCAAATCCATTTTTTTTAAAGGATGTGTAGAGAGTATTTGAGCCGCGTCATGACAAAACCAACATAATGGGTTTGCGACCAGCATGGATCTAGACCAGCCTGCGCATCCGCGCAGTCTGATCAGGATCCATGCTGTTCGCTTACAAACTCTATAACAAGCAGAGAAACTGATAGCGAGACCCATTATGTTGGTTTTGTCGTGACGCGGCTCATTTGATTTTTCTTGCTCAACGATAAGATTGTTTGCATTTAGCTTTATAAAACGAACCTAATTTTTCTTATACCTCCCCTTATTACCTTCCATATTCATATTGTTTTTTTAAGTCTCGTGTGCATTACATTTTTGATCATCTTACGATATTTGTTCTGTCTTGTACTTTCAGATCTTTGAGATTTTGCAATGAATCGAAACCTATCTCTCGGAAGAAAATGGCGGATTTGCTGTTCTTCAATTACAATTACGCCTCGCGCTATGATCGAAACAGATATTTAAAATGGAAGAAGGTTCCTTTTGACATTGACAACTTGTTAATTCAACTCGGAAACATTACGTGCAAAGAAGGTTTTTATTACGATTTTACAAATTACGTTTTGATTAAATATATATAAAAAAAACTTTATCAGGTCCAAGTCAATCATGCATGTTTTTAGTGGATGAGGAAAGTAAGAAAAACAAATACAAAATATATACTTGTCAAAATAGTTCTCGTTTTAACAACAGATTGTGTGTGGTCAATTTTTCGTACTAGCACAAAAATTTGACTCAATTTTTCTTAAACATAACAAAATAAAGCCTTATATCAGGGGTATTTCCACATGTACACAACTGCGCATAATTCAAACTTTTACCATTTTCATGTTTAAATGTTGAATTCTACTTAAGTCGGTGCTAGGGTGCGTGGACGGTAACTTGCAAATACCACTAACGTTCATGAACAGGCTCGATCTGTTTTGGCTGTTCTTAATGAATTCTGTTTTTTCTTTATTCTATTGAGTGTTGCGCGTCCTCTCTTGTTCTTAACAATGTTTACCGAAACTGAGTAAATACTGTGTTATAAATATTAAGATATCAAGTTTCTTTTCACTATGGACTATTCTTGTAGAATATGACATATCATCAGTGGACGACGTCGCGTGTGCGGAGGGGAGGTTTGTTTTTAATGCAAGTGTGAGATGCGTTTACGACACTGATTCGAAAGGCATTATGGCTGGGTGCAGATCTGGTTCCCACTTGGAATCGTGTGGTAAGCTCAAACTTTTGTATGCCCCGTGAAACATATTGTTAGCTAGAACTTTTAGACCTATTTAGAGTACATTTTAAATATACTATATTCTTCAGCTGTATGAATGACAATGTTTTAAAGGAACTTCACTGACATCCAAAAGCCTAAAACATTAAATCTGATTCAAATTCTTACATAGATAATCCTAGGCTCTTGAAATAGAGAGATATGCAAAAGATAATAAGAATATTATAAGAAAAAAATGAAAGCCGTATTTTTGTGCTACTTTTAGTCCAAATTAAGTGAAAAAGCGTTGCAACGCTTTCCAATTTTGGGTCAGTTTTCACTATTAGAATAATTATTCTGGAAAAACAGAGAGAGTAAATGATCTCAAAATATTTGTACAAATATTATTGGTCTAAACCTACATGAAATGGAATATTAATTTCGAAATTTTATTTTCAGTCCCTGCATGTCAAAGAACCTCTGTGTAGTCCCCTTTAAATATCTTTATTTTTATTCATACACTTTAATTTGAGTCTTTTATCATTTTCCAGCGCCAACAACTTTCTCCAAGTTGTACATATTATCTGCAATATTCAAAGAATCTCATCTAAGACATACTCCTATATAAGTGTCTAACTTTATTTCATAGATGAACAAAAGTAGATATTATATCGAATTCCTTTCATAGCCGTCTTCTATTTTGCAAAGTGCTTCATAGAGCCGCAAAGTGACGTAATAAAGTGAATAATAATGAAGCCAAATAAAGCTTGACACTTAGTATGTTAGTATTCATCCGTAGCTAGAAACATTTTTCTGTCGTTATCGCTCCCGTCGGAGTTTCTAATTTCTGTAGAACAGCACGGATGAACACTAACATATACTTAGAAGATACTTTTGTATTATATTGATGTATATTAGAAACATTGATGTAACCTATGGGTGGAAACTCTCTTGACGGATATTCCGATGTGTATTAAAAGATATCATTGTACATGTATATAACATTGATATAATTTGTTTGACGATATTATTATTTTTATACGATATTATTGTTTAACATAGATGTATATCAAAATATATTTTTGTCTCACATTGATATAACCAATGATTGGAACCCGGGGGACGGATATTCTGATCTGAACCGAAAAATATGATATAATTATATTATAAATCTGCAGTGAAAAAAAAATCACATTAAACTTTGCAGGCGCCCATTAAAACAATAACGTTTACGCCATTGCATTTACTTATTTCATTTCATTTCTATTTTTATACATTAGACTCGTTTAAAGGTGCATGTCGTAATGATACCACTGTTAAATGTCCAGACAGTTATTGCATACCTTTACGTTTTGTGTGCGACGGAATTGAACATTGCCCTAAGGCTGAAGACGAGCATGGTTGTGGTAAGTGAATGAGCGTTAAATGTTTGTTTGTTTAATTTGTTTGGTTGGTTGGTTGGTTGGTGGGTTGGTTGGTTGGTTGGTGGGTTGGTTTGTTGGTTGGTATTACGACGCACTTACACAGTATAGATCATATGGCGCCGAAACAGGAAAGTCGATTTTAGCTAACCTGGGATGTTTCAAATTTAAAAGCAAGAGTTGCATAGACTTCAACCCATTTAGTCGCCTCTTACGATCACGCAAGGATAAACGGTGATTGCATTTCTTATGAATCAACCATTAAAGGCAATCCTTCAGACAATTAATTAGTTGGGATGGATGGAAATAGTATAGATACTTGTATTGTTCACTTATTATTAATCAGTTTTGTGTTTAAATCATGATCATTTTTGATTTACTTTATCAAATCGGATTATGGAATGTATGTCAAATATTATGGACTTTTGTCAGCTATGAATATATAATTTTTTTTAATGTTGAATAGCATTTGTTATTGGTGATGTAGTTGTTGTTGTCATAAACAATCATAATATCAAAGAAATGTAAACGACAGTTTTGTTTTGCAGGTTGTAAAGACGACGACAAAGAAGTTCTAATTATGTATGAAGAAAATGCTCTTCGAAATCCAGACATATTACAGTTGGCGAAACAACTCTATACGCCACAGAGCATTATACGCATACTCCCATACAAGAAAATTGATCTCCCACCAGATATAAATCAAAATTATGTACTGCTACAAATTAAGGATAAGGAATTTAAAATGTCTGAACAAATAGACAGGAACTTTGAATGTGAATATAAAATGCTAGCGAATGAATTCTTAAAGTCAGTACAAATGACGCGCAAAAAGAAAGCTATTGTTTTTATTCAAAGCAGCCCAGAATCAGAAAAAATAGGCCGGATAATGTTTAAAGAAATATCAAGTCAGCCCGATATGATAATATATCGCACAATAGAAGTTCCGTCTGCAGTTACAACAACAGAAATAATGCCGAATGTAATTGATGTAGTGGTTAAAGACTGGAAGATATTGTCTTCATTAGCAGCACGGTTTTTACGGGAGATATGTGAAGGTACTTAATTATTTTGCCACCTGCAGTTCTGTTTAACTAGGTTCTATAATGTTGGTAGCTCAATGTTTGTAATTTGATAGTTACTCCCTGACACTGTAAGTAGGCTGTTCCATGTTTAAAGCAGGACAAATACTTTATGCAAAGTCGGAAGATTTAGACTTAGATGAAACAACTAATTGCTGATAGAAAATAACTTAACGTTCAACTTATATGCATATTGTTCATATAGTAACTGATCACTATAATCTTTGTACTGTAAATGCTAGTGATTAAAACATTGGCTTACCATATTTCCATATTCTTGTGCCTTAAGTCGATTCTTTAATTGAACCAAAAGTATTCAAACTTGGCATGTTGGGACCGGAAGTTACTAGTATTTGCCACTAGTGTAAAGCTAGCTTGATGTGCAGTCTGACCCTAAGTTCTCTATACTGCTCGCTGACTATTTTCAAATTTTGATCTTACTTTCACCAAAATTGATAATAGTTTAAAAAAAATCGAACCTGGACAAGTCAATTTACGTAAATCAGCCTGGTGAAGATCACTCCCTTTGAACATTACATGCATATTTGTATATTGTAAATGTATGCGTTATTTAGACAGACTACATACTTGACATGTTTTGAACAAGAAAGGTTTGGTATCTTTACGACTGTAACATTTTCTTTTGATTTTAGAGGCTTTTGTAACGTTATGTCCAGGGGCATACAGGTGTTCATCTAGTAAAATGTGTATCACACTTGATCAAGTATGCGATGGTAAAGTTGACTGTATGCATGGCGATGACGAAATGCTCTGCGGGTTTGTCTGTCCAGCAAAATGTAGCTGTAGAGGATATGCAATGACATGCCTTGTGAAATCTTTAGAAGACAACAAGATAATAACGTACCCAGAGCAGACACATTGGTTACAGTTCAGACCAAGATCACATATGGAAGCAAACTTGAAAGAAGACGTCTTAAACCTTCCGTTTTTGCATCTTCTGAACATAAGCAGTTGTAATATAAGAGAAATATATCCAAACGCGTTCGTTAAGCTACTGAATCTGAAGATTCTGGACCTTCGTCATAACTTGATTAAAAGATTATTTCCTTTGGCATTTAGTGGCCTACAAAGATTGCACACATTAATGTTAGACGGGAACAAACTTTTAGATACTCTAGAACCGTTTACTTTTAGTTATCTAAACTCGATTAGAAGTTTACAAATTACCGGTACTAAAGTAAAATACATTGTGTCTAATACATTTGCTGATTTAACACTTGAACGTTTAGAAATATTCAACAATGAACTAGAAGACATTGGTGAATATGGGTTCGGAAATCTGGCCGTAGAACATTTATCGTTCGAAAACAATGTAATTCTGACATTTGATAAAGGAATTTTCAAAGGATTATCCGCATTGAAATCATTAAGAACGCCAGCTTTTAAATATTGTTGCGTGAGACCAAACTATTTACAAGAAGATGACTGTTTTCCATCAAAAGACGAATTTTCATCATGTGAAGATCTTATGCGAACATCGGTTCTGCAAACAATGCTTTGGTTGATTGGTTTGTCTTCTCTTCTAGGAAATATACTCTCTATAATTTATCGTTTGAAGTTTGATAGGGAGCGGTTAAAACTTGGATATGGTATATTTGTAACAAACCTCGCTATAGCGGATTTCCTGATGGGAGTTTATTTAATTATAATTGCAATTGCTGATGCTGTGTTTAGAAAACGGTGAGCTTAGATAAGTATTCCTAAGTATACATGTACATCATACTGAAAAGTTACATGAACCAATCAGATTATTATTTGAACTTATTGTAAGCCTAGCTATAATTCAAACAAAAATACTAGTTTTAGAAACGAAACAGTATATGATTACAATCAGAGAAAAAAAAATATTATACTATTTTGAAACGTATATAATTGTTGAAGTTTTAAAAAGGCATAACTATTACATGCTGGAACCGACATTATAATCCTTTGTACCACCAGTATAGATCAAGGCCAGTGTCAACATTCGTACAGTTTAACCAGGCTCTTTACTGTTTGCAGTTTCAGAACCTCTGTAAACCTTTCAAAATTCCATATTATTTACTTCCGGCAATAGCTTTATTATTCAGGACATACGCATTATTTACCCAAGGACCATAATAATAATTATTCGGCTTTTCATGGAAGCCTTGAATCACGGGGGAGGAAGTGTTACACGAAGGATGGAGTTCTTATGATAACTTGTTCAGGAGTTCTTGTGATAACTATCATGGAGTTCGTCGGAAAACATCTGTATACATAACAAAAACACTCGTCAAAAAAAGGCAATGGAAAAATGCCTATCAATTAGTTTTTTTACACATTATACAGAATGTAAGACAAGCTTAATCATTAAAGTTTAATATAGCACCTAAAACTCATTTTGAAAAGATGACAATTACCATTTTCGTAGTGTTTACAAATGTTTTCCGACGAACTCCGTAAAAGTTATCACAAGAACTCCTGAACAAGTTAACAAAAGAATTCCATCCTTCGTGTAACACTTCCTCCCCCGTGTTGAATGGAATGTTTCACGGCAACCGCCGTATAAACACATCTACGGAATTTTCTAAAGTCAAAATATCACCACAATCATATTTATTGTTTAAAACTACTTTAGCCGGTGCTAGGGGCGTGGTGCTAGGGGCACCACTTCCGTCTAGTAACAGCTCATTCAAAGCGAGGCTGTTGCCATTTTTGGCGTTCCTTTTGGATTCAGTTTTATTTTCTATTCTCTTTTTGAAGTAATTGATATTGAAATCTTTCAACTGTGAACGGAGTGGTTTTTTAATGGCACATCTATATGACAGAAATTCAGCAGATTAAGATACTTTTCTATAAAATAGTAACACATTTTTATATCGAATCTAAAGATATTGAACAAACACGTTTTGCGACATCATGTAATAAATGATGAAGAAAGCCACAATAGGCAATGACAACAGAGTCAAGATATCTTGACTTTGCAAACTCTCCTGAAATCGTAAGCGTAGTTTAAATGACGCATATTTGGTATACGAAATATATATTTCAATCTGGCACTCGTACACCCTTTTATACTTATTTCTTATGTATTTTGTATGGATACTAATGATGATTTTCACAGATACATTGTAAAATCAACGTCTTAAAACGAATGGGATATCACAATATAGCAATTATTAAGACAAATATTTAGGCGATGTGTTTAAGCTTTTAACGGTGCTTTAATTGCAGGTATATCTTCATGGACGACTATTGGCGAGGAAGCTTCTGGTGCACATTTGCAGGTGTTTTATCAACGCTTTCATCAGAACTCAGCGTTATGTTTCTTTGCCTGATAACCCTAGATAGAATTCTAGTCATTAAATACCCCTTTGGACAAGTTAGATTTGATACAGAAAAGGCGGTAATATGCTCGCTTACTGCATGGGTTCTTTGTCTACTTATGGCTTTGTTTCCCCTGATGTATTCTTCATACTTTAAAGGTTCTTTTTACAACAAGTCAGGCGTATGTATTGCCTTGCCTTTAACCAGGGATCGACCACCCGGCTGGATCTATTCTGTGCTTGTATTTGTCGTTTTCAATTTCATTACGTTTCTACTGATTGCTATTGGACAATGGTCAATTTTCATGGACATTCAGAAACACGGAAAAGGTTTTGGAAAAGGACATGCGTCAAGAAAACGGGACTTGGTTGTAGCAAGAAATTTGCTGTTTGTAGTTGGTACTGACTTTTTATGCTGGTTTCCGATTGGATGTGTTGGTAAGAACACTTTTTTATTTTATTTATGTCATAGAAACAGTACCATTTACCTTGAGTAACTTGATGAATTTGTGTAATGGATTTAGCCTTATTTGAAAATGGAACGATCCAATCACAACTAAAAAAATGTTACTCATTTTAGTATTGCAGAGGCTCGAATGATATACTAGTAATTTCATTCAACCCGTACAATGAATTCAGTATTAACCTATACTCAATATATATGTCATCTTTACCCTTTATTTTTTTTACTACGTTACCCTTTACTTGTTTAACTCTTGGTTAAATTTCATTGACATAACCAATTTCAGGTTTGATGGCATTGTCTGGGCGTGTTATATCCGGTGATGTGTACGCCTGGAGTGCCGTGTTTGTTCTACCTATCAACTCGGCTTTGAACCCTGTCTTGTACACATTGACAGCTATCATTGGTAAAAAGGTATTATCCGACATGTTTTACTTCATTTTCATCATAATTTTACAATGGCATAAAAATTAATTCAATTATCGGTATGTTTTAAAATACTTTTTTTATCGTCAGTCGTGTCAAATTTATCATCATTTTTGAATAGATCACGAAATATTTTAACATTTGTTGTGGTAACTTAGAAAGAAAGGAAATGCAAAAAGGAACATTTTAAAGCAATGCTCAAATTCCTTAAAAAAATATTGATTATGCTTGATACTCTTTTTGCAAACGTTTTTGTTTTAAAGATATTTGCGAAACAAGTTCTTGCAACTTTTATAAATCATTTTCAAGTCCGCTTCCTTGAATCAACCAGTACTGGTGTCATACGACGAAACATAGTCGTGACCCGATTAGGGCTCGAGCCAATGATCCCTGGGTTGAGAGGCAGACACCATAACCACCAGGCTATTGCTCCCCTTATCATGTTTTATTGTCGTCGGTTTACATTTTAATTGAACTAGGGAAAACTTTGCATTAATGAACAGACTGACTGTATACTGGTTAGTGACTTGATATTGGGGCTTGTATTTTAATTGTTTAGGTTGTTTTTTTATTTATTTATTTATTTGTTGTTGTTTTTTAAGCTCACCTGAGCATGCTCAGGGTGAGCTTTTAGGATCGATGATTGTCCGTCGTCCGTCGTCCGTTCACATTTTGTTGTTAACACTCTAGCGGTCGCATTTTTGCCTCAATCATCATCAAACTTGGTCAGGATGCTTATCTAGGTGATAGCTCGGATGAGTTCGAACATGGGTCATCTCGGATGAAAAACTAGGTCACAAGAGCTAAAAATAGAAAAACCTTGTTAACACTCTAGAGGTCACATTTTTGCCTCAATCATCATCAAACTTGGTCAGGATGTTTGTCTAGGTGATAGCTCGGATGAGTTCGAACAGGGGTCATCTCGGATGAAAAAGTAGATCACCGGAGCTAAAAATAGAAAAACCTTGTTAACACTCTAGCGGTCACATTTTTGCCTCAATCATCATCAAACTTGGTCAGGATGCTTGTCTAGGTGATAGCTCGGATGAGTTCGAACATGGGTCATCTCGGATGAAAAACTAGGTCACTGGAGCAAAAAATAGAAAAACCTTGTTAACACTCCAGCGGTCACATTTTTGCCTCTATCATCAACAAACTTTGTCAGGATGCTTATCTAGTTGATGATAGCTCGGATGAGTTCGAACATGAGTCATCTCGGATGAAAAACTAGGTCACCGGAGCTAAAAATAGAAAAAAACATTTTTAACACTCTAATGCTCACATTTTTCCTCAATCATCATCAAACTTAAGTCAGGATGCTTGTCTAGGTGATAACTCGAATGAGTTCGAACATAGGTCATCTCAGATAAAAAAACTAGGTCACAGAAGATATAAATGAAAAATCTTGTTAAAACTCTGGCGGTCACATTTTTGCCTCAATCATCATCAAAATTTGTCACGATGCTTATCTAGTTAATAACTCGAATGAGCTCGAACATGGGTCATTTCGGATGAAAAACTAGGTCACAAGAGCTAAAAATAGAAAAAACCTTGTTAACACTCTAGCGGTCACAATTTTGCCTCAATCATCATCAAAACTTGGTCAGGATGTTTGTCTAGTTTGATAGCTTGGATGAGTTCGAACATTGGTAATCTCGGATGAAAAACTAGGTCACAGGAGCTAAAAATAGAAAATCTTGTTAACACTCTAGTGGCTACTGTTTTGATCCAAATATCCGTAAATTGGTCTGAAAGTTTGTTTTGATGATTTCTAAGTCAAGTTCGAACATGGGTCATCTTGGGTGAAAAACTAGGTCACACCGCCCCAAATATGGAAAAACCTTGTTAACATTCTAGTGGTCACATTTTCGACTCAATTATCATCAAACTTGGTCAGGATGCTTGTCTAGGTAATTGCTCGGATGAGTTCAAAATCGCATGTGAAACTAGGTCACCGGAGCTAAAAATAGAAAAATCTTTTTTAAACACTCTATTTGAAATTTTTGACCAAGTATCCGGGAAATTTTGGTTGAAAGTTTGTTTTTTTTGATTTCTGGGTCAATTGAATATGGGTCCCCCTTGGGAAAAAAAAACTGGGTTTCACACTCCCTTCCAAATAGGGAAAATCCTTGTTCACTGTAGTGGTCACTTTTTTTTACTAAACCTGTCATAAAGAGGGTTAGAATGCTTTTAGATAATTTTTTGGGTGTTTTTTTGATGGGTGGTTACGATCTGGGGCCCATCTTTCCCCTTTTTGGTTTTTTCGGGTTTTTGCACCAAGAGCACAGCAACGCAGCGGACAATTTGGAGATGTTTTGCTAGGAGTTTTTTCTATAATAGAAAAAATGGCAAATTATTTTTTAATGTTTTAACAAAACCCTAAAAAATTCACTGATTAGAAACTTTAACAAAATTGGGTTTCCCCAAAATCTGTTTGGTTTGAAAAAGTTAAAGTTTGCCCAGAAAGGGTCTAACATAAAAAGCAAACTTTCATGCGGTCTGATCAAATTTTTGAAATTGGTGCTTTTTTAAACCCAAAACCATTTTTAAAATTTTTAAAAACAAAATGATGAAAAATTTTTTCCAGATTAAAAATTTTAACTTTTTAACATGTGAAAAGGGTAAATATTTTCAAAAAGCGCCCGGGAATTTATTTTAAACCCCTTTTTAAAAAAAACCATCAATTGGGGAAAATTTTAAAATTTTTTTTCTTTTTAAGAAATTTAGCGGGGGCCATTGTGTAAGGCGGGAAAATACGATATGGATTTGAAACAAAAAGATAAAAAACGCAAAATTCCCGATTTGGATGTAACTTTATGCAAGAATAGTTTGTAATGTTACCTTTTTTTGTGCATTAACATCTGCAGTAGCCATCGGACTAATTAAACCGCTAACCAAACGGGTTCGACCTTTAATTGTGTCCTCGTGCTTCTGTAGATGTTAATGCACGAAAAATAGTACGTTAACACTCTATTGTAATACTAGTATTTTTCGATTTACAGTCTCAATCAAAGCGAACCTGCAACATATTTTGTTTTAGTAAGTTATCTGGCGATTCTTAGTTTTTCTATTTTACAACTTTAAAAAAATCTGACAAAGGGAAACTTGTCATTTAAGAGCACAAATTAAGTGTATATTTGATTGGGTTTTTTTTTGTAAGAAACAGTTACAAATGTGCAACATCTTAGACAAATTAAATCTGTTTAGAATAGATAATGAAATGTTGAAACATTATCCACTCATCCACAAACATATAACTGAGATATTAG